TCTTGAAGTAGACTTTACCATGCACGTCTCTACTTTTCATCATCGGGTAGTAATTCAGGTGGGGATACGATATGTGCATAATTGAATAACTGACTGGCTGAGAGCCAAGGACACAAGCTGATTCAATTCATATGCATTTATTGTGATTAGTCCTGATCCTTAAGTGGTTATCAGCTCGTCTAGAATCTACCTGCATCTGATACTGATTGACCTAAGGAAATAACGGAATTTGCTATCTTCGTGATGTTAGGCGAGGAGTAAAGGTTCGTGCACTCCATTCGGAGTAAAACCGTTAATGTTATCATGTAAGGCGTCTACTGGAGGTCGTAAAACGGCTTGACGGCAACCTTAAAATGACGATACTGTGTACTTAAGCTTCGGTCTAAGAGTACAATCTTGCATACTATATGAGCAAAGTCTTCACATTTGCGCTTTCGATCTAGGCTCAATTTATTTCAGCGATGTCAGGGCAAAAACTAATACAAAGAAGTTATGAATTTGTGTGCAAATTAAAGTTCAGTTAATGGAATGACATCGCATCTTGACTGGCAAAACTACTTTCCCTGCTCACAGGAGGGAGTGAAGTAATGGAGGATGTGGATAAAATATTTACAATCCATTCCTAATTGAATAACATGTAATCGCGTCAGTGTGCTACTAATTGAATGGTCTAATGCATGCAAAGCATAGAATTTGGTGAGTGATTGCTGAGGGTGCTGAATTGCACATATAGTAATTTATCGTGGAGAGCGAATTTGTCTGGTATCACATGGCGCTTCGAGGTTCTCTTCAGATGAATGAAGCGTGACTGTAACGCGTTATCTGCTTAACGGTAATTGAATTTGTTTGGCAGACAGGTGAAAGTAGAACATAAATCCGAGCGATTGACGTGCCGAAGGAAAAGCAAGTGGATCCCCACCGCTCAAACATGGGGTGGATAACGTTGGTTTTGCGTCAAATACTCGAAATGGCATAATGTTTTGCAGCTCACCTTCGTTTCCATCCACTTTTTAAGAAAAGGTGGCAAACAAAGGTTTGACTATGTTTATTACAGAATGTTACAGAATGCCCAGTTCAAAGAAGAAGCCGAAACCTTTGCTTAAACATGCATTATAAGTTTCCAATTTTAAAAGTCCATTAATGTCCACACCCAAACTCCATCGTTCCAACAAATCTGCAAATATATGCTCCATAGTTAAAAACTAAGGCTCTGGTGTAAGCAAAATGGGAGGAAT